GGAGGGGCAGAAAACCCCCCCCCCCCGGGGCAAGGCCACCCCACGCTCCCTTCTCCATCTCTCCATCCTGTTGGCACCCTGGGCATGCACGTGCATCCTTCCAGGGTGGTCTTATTTTCTTAAAGAATTATTTTATTTAACTTTCTTTTCTTTCTTTTAGTTTGACCAGAGAGGGACAGAGAGAGAGGGGGAAAGTGAGAAGGCAAGCTGCCAGGGCTGGGGCTCCAACCGCAGTCGGCCATGTGGGAGTCCATCGCCCTTAACCACTAGGCTGCAAGGCTGGCCCTAGAGCTGCAGAGCTGCTGCCCTTTAACACAGGCCTAGTTACCAGCTGCTAGTGAGGGCGGAGGGTGCAGGAGCCAGGAGACCAGCCGGCCAGGAGGTGGGGCTCCCTCTATTCCAGAGCAGTGCCCGGCGGTGTGAGTCTCGTCACCCTGCACACCCAGCCACAAAGCGGGCTGGACAGCATAGAGCACGCCTCGGCCTGTGGGACCTGGCCCAGGTGGTGAGTCTGCTCTCACGGAGTTCCCACGGCACGGTCTCTGTAGAGCGGGCGCCCCATGTCTGGAGGGGAGCTAAGAACACGGGACTGGGCTGCTCAGACGGCAGTCCCAGCTGCCCTGTGTGGGGAGTATCCAAGGGCAGATCTCGAGGAAAGGAAGTCTCAGGTTCACACTGCCTGGGAGCTCCGGGAGGGCAGTGCCCCGCTGTCCTCGGGGCTCCTCCGGCCCTCACCTGCAGGCTCTCCTGCTTCCAGCCCTCCTGGCTGCTGAGGATGCCCAGGGCCTTCTGCATGGCCTCCTCTCCCTGCCGGATGTAGGCCAGCTCCTGGTCGCTGTAGGGAGCCTCCTCCAGTCGGGAGCCTGCACAGAGGCCGAGAGTCAGAGCTGGGGCCCTTGCCTCCGCTCACTCTCAACACTGTGGTCTCTGGGCCTGATGATTCCTCCAAAGAGCCGAGACCAAAGCGGGTCCAGCTTGCAGGTCAAGTTAGGGCTTGGCCTGGAGGAGCCTGGAGGAGCTCCGGGGTAGGTAGGACGGGGACATCCTCTAAAGCAGGGAGTGAGAGCAGGCGGAGGGAGCTACCCGCACAGCATGCACCCTCCCCACCCCGCAGAGGTCCCGCACTTACCCAGCAGGGAGCTCCCCCTGCGCACCTGGCTGATCCATACATGGGGGCTGGGGCCCTCCAGGGCCCTCCGATTCAGCTCCTGGCCGATGGCCAGCACAGCCTGGTGTCTTAGCCCTGCAGGAAGGGATGAACCTTGCCTAGGGGCTGGGAAGTCCCTTAGAGATGGGCCATTCCAGCCCCTCGTCCTGTCAGGTGAGGAGACTGGCCCGGGATGGTTCTACTAGGGACCTGAGCCAGAGCCCGGTCCTGAACCCCCAGTTCAGTGCTCATTGCACTGCTCCAGGCCCCCAGACATGAAAAGCCCTGCTGTAGGACACAGGAAACCCGGCCCCAGATCTGCGCCCACAGGCAGCAGGGCCCTGTGCACAGGGAGCTCGGAGCGGGCAGCCTCGGCAGGGCCGTGGGGCGGCCGGCCCCTCCACCAGCTGTAGTCTCCCAAGCATGGCTGTCGTCAGTCCGGCAGCTGATCCAGTCCTGGGTCACTGGGGACTGTGTAGGCCGAGCGCCTTGGTGGCAGCCCAGGACTGACTCGGACGCCCGGCTCTGCCACAGTGGCCGTGGCGATTGGTTCTGCCTCCTCTCGGCCTGTGGTGCTGACAGCCTGCCTGCCCGGCTCCGTGCACCTAGTTCTGCACCGTCTCGCTCCGTCTTTCTCTCCCTAGCCCCTTTCCTGCCAGCATCTCAGGCTTGCTCACACTGCGTGTTGCAGTCATGACGCGCTTCTGATCACACTGTGGTCCCTGGGTGCAGAGCCCTGTCCTAGCCCCAAAGGAGAGCAAATTCAGAAAGCAGTCAGGAAAGATCGGAGACCAGAAATTTGGACTCCGGAGGGGCTTGGGAGCTCAGCATCCAGCCTGAGCCTTCAGGTAGGGAAACTGAAGTTCAAGTTCGGAAGGGAGGAGACACAACTGGGACCTGAACCTGGGTCCCCCGCAGCCCCGATCTAGCCCTTCCGCACCACGCCCTGTGCCTGCGGGCTCCGGGCCCACCCCGGCCCCAGCCAGGACACTCACCCTTCATGTTGCGCACATGTCTGTAGGAGCTCCCAGCACACAGCTTAAACGTGGCGAGCAGCATCGTGCGCTGCCGTGCGGGACTGCTTCTGCTCTCGGGTGGCTCCTTCGTCCCTCCTGAGCCCCTCGCGGTCCGCTTCTGGGTAGTGCAGCTGGCCAGGACCGTGCGCCCTGCGTCTTAAATGCGGCCGGCTGAAGGCTGCGCTAATCACCAGGAGATAAGAGGGCTGTCACTCACTGTGCAAAGGAAGGGGTCAAGGGTAGAGCGATTGCCTCACCCTGCCACTCTGGCCACTTGTGGGAAGTGGGTGGGGGGCAGTGTGTGCACAAAGGAGCGGACAGGCCTCTCCAGACCTGGAGGTGGCAGGCGGGCACAGGGCAGTGAGACAGGCCTGGGTTTTTTTTTTTTTTTTTTTTTTTTT